TGGACCGACGTTAGTTTGGTTTTAATGTTTGATTGGTAAAAGAAACTATATAGCCCAACTTAATGTACCAGGATGCAAATTTTGTACAAATCTTCTGTATTCGTATGAATTTTGGTTTCAGCGAAGACGAACACTTTGGAATTAGTGGGCACAGATTTCTTATGGGAAGGCGTACCAAATGTAATCAACTGTAGTAGCATCCTAAATGCGGATAAATTAAAATTCAGTGACAAGCAAGCACACTAAGTAGTTTTATTTCCACAAAAATATACTTCCACAGCTTGCACCTAGTAGCTGAGCAGTAGTGAACGAAATCGTAAGCAGGGCGAAGATTTTCGGTAATCGATGCCAAGGCTAAGCTGCATCCGTATTCGCATTTGTTAGGACTTTACAAGTATAGATGGGTAAATTTCACGGATGGATAAATTTGTGTTGAGCTTATCAAATTGCAAGTCAAACCCTTTCATCTCTTGATCACCAGTCACCGCTTTGTCTCATACAGTGAAAGAAATTTAATTTGGTGTTTCATACTATTGTTTAAATAGACCGAGACGCGGATTTCCACATTAGCTTATGACCTACTACTAAGTATACCGACCGTTGTAATAAGCGATATTCCAAGCAAGTGTGATTTTGTCTTGAAGCTGTCCATACGACTCACTATAGTGTAGGTTGTCTGTGCTATGTGTTCGAAACCGGTGAGGAAACGAGGCCTTAGGCGTAAACAGTATCAAAAAGACTCTTTTACAAACACGGTCGCACTGATCAGAATGGTCAAGTTTCTTAAGTATAAACCATAGCCTAGGTAGCCCCGTGTGTCGCAACGTAAAACACACAGGGTCTTCACAAATCAAATGGTTAAACTCGTAGATGCCCGCAAACTAAAAGATCCGTTTAATGGTTTATGTGACAGCGTCTTAAACTACGTTCCACCACCGGATGGATAGTTATTTGGTCTAATGTCCAGATTTTCTCGGATCCATCTAACAGCGAAGCACTTTGCGACTCGGTATATGTCAACCAGTCTGTCTTACGGATTTTGAAAACCAACGGTCTCATTCTAAACAGTCGGGTCGTCTTTGCTTTTACGCGTATCCCTGGTTGCGTGTGTTAGCTCGATAGGGACAATGGTTAAGGACAGTATTTCATAGCCATTAAAAGGATAGTCCTTCGCATTTCACCACTATTCTATACTGTTGATTTACTGTCACCTAGCTACAAGCTGTTTTATGTGGGGCGGGATGTGGCTTGTTTTCCTAGATTCATTCAGGAGCGAGAACTCGAAGTCTGCGGGCGTTGGCATAAGTCAGATGTTTCAGTCACTTTAACAGCAAGTTCGCTGCGGCTAATGTTCGCGGATAGCAACGCTTATCTGTGTATGACAATGGAGAATCCACTTGTTTTAAGCGCCGTTTCAAAAGGAACCTTCGAGCGATGTGCATCTCAAGCCAAAATACGAATGATATGCATCCTTTGGATGATGACCTTGATAATGCTTACTAAACTCAGCAACACATTAAGAGGCTGATAGCTGATAGATACTTAACTGCATAATACCTCATCTGGAGCCATATTAACACATAAAACTAAGCACACTTCGCGGTGGTTGTGATCGAATGAGTTGAGGTAGTTACTTGTGAGGTAACTTGATTCGTCGTTTTAACTACAATGGTTTGAGTGCATCAGCCCGCGTCAGTGGCACACTAAACCGCCTTAATCCGACATCATTTTTGTCTTCTTACTGCATTATTCAGGCAGCTACTGTAGAACAACACATAGTGCCGCGTTAAACTGAAGTAGCTGTACACGCTAAGAAAAAATGCAGCCAGTTGTTTATTATCCCATACAGATTACTATTATACCTGTACCGTAGGGAGCAAATGTTTAAACAATCATCGCGAATACAAGCGGGGATTAGTCTTTTCAAAGCATATCGTGTTATTTCATCAGTAATGTTCCTTAAGCACGATTTTTGCATCGATATCTTCTCAAACTATATGAAACCATCCGTTTAGATGAATTTCTTCCTTAAATCACAAGCTTTCTCCAAACGAAGTTCCTTAATCTTCTAACTGGACTTCTTCCGCTACTTAGACACTACTGACTCAATCTGCTGATATCGATGTTGTCGGCGAAACGAAATAAGAGTGTGATTTAACAGTTTCCCTACATGAGTTCAAGCGGTTTGTTATTTTCGAGCTGTCATCCAAGGACTGCCTGGCTCTAATTTGTCTGTTGGCAGTATTAAATTCCCTCAAAACGGTCACATCCAGATGATCACTATACGGTTAAATAGGTGAATTAAATGAAGAAGCCTGACAGTAATTATACCCCACTTTTGCTGGCACTATAGCACTTTGAATGAGAAGAATGTAAACCGAGCATTTTTCGTGGTTGTTAGACATACATCAAATAATAATACTACGGACATTTTTCCTGATGCGATAACCTGTGTCTGTAGCGGCACAGATCTTTTTGAACAAAAGTATCCATGTTCTTGCCTGATCAACATATTTAGGTGGAATTTTAAGGTGTGCGTTTCACGTAGTTACTTTCTGGTGGATTATTGAGGAAAATGCTTAGTTTTGAAAACGTGGGTTTTTAGATCTTTTTGGACCCCACTTGCAATAGCTCATCGAGAGATATTTTCCGTGTGAGTATAGTATGGTATTTAGATTAAGGTAACTTGAGTCTGCTTCTAAAGATTGATACATTGTCACTTGGCCTGAGTGTTATTGGTACTTTATTCCACAGACGACTATTTCTAATCAGGAAGAACTTATAGCGAACGTTCATTTTAGCCTTCGGTATATTTAGTGTAAAATCTTTATTGCGAAGCTCTCGAGTTGAACTATGTTGTAGTTGTAGTGTAGGCAGGTCGGAATAGGTCTTTCTGTGTAACACGTTGAAAAGCATTGACTCGTTGTGCTTCAATCGTTGAATCCAAAGTGGTTCGAGTTGAAGTTCACTGAAACACCCCAGTGCAAACGATGCACGTCCAACGCTCGGTTGTCAAACTCCCAGACCAAAAGCACGAACAATGTTGGATCAGTGACCAAATAGATAGCATTACACCTATATTCCATGACCAAGGTAAAGCAGATGTTTAACTTACCACCGGCAAGCCCTTGTCTTCCCTGCTTTCTGGATTACACTTTTTGGATACTGGTAGATCGATGTATTGTTATGTTGACTAGTTAACTAATAGCACTCTCGATCGATCGCTGGATTAAAATACAAGTTAACTGATGGGTGGAATGTTTGTTTAGTCCATTGATTGTTGGATGGATGGGTGGATGTTTACATAGATGACTAGTTCACCATAAAATTCGTTTGCTGTGGATCTATCTTTCTGAACACTGGATAGCAAACTGTGCCTCAATGTGCTAGAATATGGCATTTTGTAGTTTCTGCACCGCGTTGTATCTAGTGAATAGAAATCTGCCTGTCGCATTGTCGGTATCCATGCGAAGCACATGTTCCACTGCTTGTGAGTTCAATCATGCCTTACGTGACCGTCTGAGGATGACCCGCATGCATTTGACTGATGTGCTGGTAAACGCTGATCTGCGATGATCTGCGCTGCGGTTCCGACATACGCCTAAACCCCAGTGTCAATGTGAATCAGTTTAGATAGCGAAACCATCAGCATTAGCCTAGAACATTCACGATCACTAATTGCATGTGGAAAGCTAAGCATGCATTTAAGATTACTCTCCTCTAGAAACACACTAATTTGTATAGACGGATATTGCTTCAGTTCATTCCGTCATCAGAGTTTGCTTGACGCGTCAGCTTAGCTCCTCATCACTTGTGAATCATCATGTCGTTTGACGTGTCGAAGTCAATTTCAACTGTGTTCTCTATATTTTGCTGGTTAAGTACTTTAGACTAAATATCGACAGTACAAGCGGCATAACACTTTATCGCCTCCTCGGGTTGTATGTTACAAATCTCACTAAGGGAGTCAGGTGATTTACGAACTACAAACAGTTGCATGCTTTCGTTTGAAGTCACGTGGGTCATACAATACTCAACGTGTTAGTTGTGAGAAGACAACATTCTTTATATATGGTGTACTAGGAATTTCTCCATAACCTTCTTGCGGTACGTTTGAGTTTTGTGAAACAGAACCTTTATCAAGTGAACATTTATCCCACATTATTTTTCTATCCGAGAGCGGATTTTGTAAGCGATAATTCACTTTAAGCAAATCGTTTTATTACAAGCAGTTATCTAGCAACTTGTAAAGCGATTACCGAACAGCGTCATTGTAGAAATGTTGAACCTTAATGAAAAGAATAATCTTAGAGCCCTGTTGGCCAGTTCGTTTAATGATGGTTTTCAAATAATACAACTGACAGTAATACATCCACATAGATTAGTCTTCGGGATATGTCCATTCGGTTTAAAATGTCAAGCAGTAAGCGTCGCAGTCGAAATATTTCCATCGCAATGTGTGCTGGTAGTCAAAAAAATTACACTTCCGCATTGAGCCTTGTGTCACCATGATTCCGAAAATGTCATGAACAACTTCGGTCTGCCTTGCATACCTCACCCTCACAATCAAGATGTACAACGTTGTTTTTCGCACTTGCGTCACGCACGGTGCTATTCAATAACTTCCTTGGTCATGCGGTTCTCGTTACACGCCTAAATGCACATACGGATAGACTTGACCTCCGCACGCTATGTTCTATGTGTTGTAAGTTGTTCAAGAGTATCGTTTTCTGAGGCTATCGATCCAGCCAAACCGAACTACTTACGCCATGAACGACCAAACCGGAGTAAGACGAACTCTAGCATTAGAAGCCAACACCTTAAGCTACGAATCGCACTTCGAATTTTCTCAGACACCAGGCGGTCATTTGTAGCCAGTCTTTGTTCACATGTTTCGACTCGAGTGCATGCTAATGAACGTTGGTTGGACTCTACATTTTCACGTGACAGATGCATAAATTAACAGTAACCACTCTCTGGCCCACCTTTTCGTCCCACAGCGAAATGAATTCCATGGAGTTGTGCGGTTCTTCTTCCAAGGCGAGGACTCCAAATACCAGGCGAAGTGCTTACGAATCTCAAACACGGCCACTGCCTGTCAGCTGGTCAATGTACTGGTCGAAAAATTTCATCCAGACCTAAAACGATTGACAGCTGGTCGTTATGCCTTGTATGAATATCACGCTTCAAGCGGCGGTAAGTTTGTCTTAAAAAGCAGTCATCTTTGTGTATCAGATTATCAGCTCTACAGCTGTTTATTCGGAAATTGGCCATTTGGGGATCAACCCCAACGAGAGAAACACAAATTATCACTTAGCTTCGGCTGTTTCAATTAAAAACCAGCCTAGACAGTTTCGTCAGTTCGAACCAATCAAACGTGGTATTGTATATGTTCCCGGTACTGTCTATAAACTGGACACTACTGATCCGATAATACTACTAATGATTGCCAGGACCACGTAGTGGACTGGTGTACTAGTCCTCAACAGAGTAACCACCCAATGGCAAAGCCGTCACCGTAACCGCGAATTCCATCGGGTAACATGATGTGAACCGCTGCGTCATTAAATCGCGTGTGTCACCCTCCAATTGTGTACCATTTCCCTCGGACAATTTACCTAGTTCCTGGGTATTTGCATATGTCAACGATCCGAGTGTCATTTTAAATCTGCATCCCGTCCATAGGAGCAGTCGTCTCCACAATTCAGTTAAATATCATATCCGTTGAATCTCGATTGTCAGCACTCCGAGAGCCTGAAGTTTGGTCTTTTTCAACCAGTCCACTTGCGCACTTGTAGCAATATCCATGTATTAGGGTTACCTACGGGGAGATGCTCACCCAAGCAGCTGAGCACTGCGAATGGTTTGGGAGACAGCAGCAGCGCTCGTTGTCACTCACTAGCAGTGTAGGTCAGTTTTGTTCATACCTGATCTCCCACTGTTAAACGCACTAGATGTTTTGGTTTGAGCCTAAAAGGTGCTTCAGTTGCAGCTCAACAAGTGTGAGGACTGGTGGGTCGTTCGGTCCAATAGTCCGGGGAGTTTGCACCGACCGCAAAGTGGCAACATTCCATCTACTGCACTTTATACGGATATCAATTAGAAACATGTGAGGCCGAATTAAACCTCATATTTCCGCATCAAGGGTAATAGATTATTGCGCTGAAGCCTGTGTTATTTGCGTCGTCTCCCAAACATCTTCGCTTTCGCTAGCATTCACACATGTTGGAAACATTCCGGGTACGTTGAAAGTATGCGTTTACTATGTTTTTATTTTTGCAAGCCCTCTCGGCTGTTATTCTTGATGTGAACCAATTTCACATAGTCGTGGTGTTAATACCATTTTTATCAAGTGTACATGGACGGTTGTACGAAAGGCTTGTTAAGAAAACCATACTGCTTGTGGTCCAAAGCGCCACAAATGATTACGAAACTGCGTGTTGAATTTAACAGAAAAAGTTATTTCAGAGCCGGGGAGCCATTAGTGTTAAAAGTGTTTTGAACCATATCGACACACTGTAAGAGTTTGTAGTAAATATCTGTCCGAGATGCATCTCGTCCGCCTTCTGGAGCACAGCCATGAATAGTCATCCCCGAGTATACTGAAGCTGGTTATTGATAAAACACTTGTCATTCTCCGCACTTATTGTGCTTAATCTCTGACCATTCCACATGCATCCGAATTTGAGTCGAAAAGCAGCAATTGCAAATGAACAATCAGTTACATACGTCTAGCAAATGCACCAGGAAGAACATTTCAACTCAATTCCTATTCCTTGAGAAGCATTGCAACTCAAACGATCCACAGTGTTAAATAGTCACCCTACCGACCAAAATTACACACTCTAACAGTTTTGCCAAAGCACCGCAGATGAAAATTTTGCTTACACATTTTGAAATGTGGCATAACTTTACACCATGGAATACACGGGTTACTTTAATGTATGTTCAACTCGCGCCACGTGGCATTGCAAAAACTTTGCAGGTTAACTATGTCTGGCTCTGAAACCCTGAACCAACTTGTTTATGTGAGGTTCTCCATGGTTGCACTCCGGTAAATGGGTTTCAAGTCATCGCTTGCAGTCGAATAACGTGAATTTGCTTCAAACCCTTTCTTAGAAGCGCCAAACACAGCACATCCTGATCTATCCCTTTCGTTGCATATCGGAGAATAAAATTCAACCCTGGATTCCGCAGTTACGCTTGATTCTTCTCCACTGCGCACCAACACGCAATTTTGTTGGTGACCAGCGCAGAATCATCCGCAACCTCACTCCCTACATTGTGGGATATGAATCCGTGAAGCACTATAGTTATGTACACTTGTCTTCCGATTTAAATCCAGCCACAACTCATTCGACTGTATGGGACAATATGCAGTAACACCATTCAAGTCATACTGTGTGAAAGCAGCGTCTTAGGGGCAGACGATACATGTACTGCATCACGGAACGTAGCAGAATAGTTCCATTACGCCCTGTCTCTTTTTCACGATACAGACCTGTTGTGGTGAGTGTCTTGTTAAAAAGAATGTGAGATAATTGGTGTGAAGAATTCGGTGTGTATCGAACCGTACCTATTGTTCCAAGTAATTAGGTGTTGCATACCAAGGAAGGCTGACAGTTCCGTGGTCGCTGCATTTCATCCTAGTTTCAATGGCAGCCCCAAGTAGAGGTATGAGGTAATTAATTTCATCCATCGCACCTGTTGGAAGCAAAGGCACCTTAATCTAGCCCCCAATGGCACTAACGCGCTGTCGCATGCATTCTTGCGGGGCTTAGTAAGTGTTAACCCAGCGGGGAGTCCCCACCCCCTGGATGACGGCCATCTATTGTCCACACAAATTCATAGGAAACGAATAATGTATGCACAGCCATCTCCAAAAGTGAGATAATTTCCGGATCATAGTCCCAGAGAATATGTCGGTATGGTTTTCTTGTGATCAGGCCATTTGTGCTGATTGAGGTACGATGGGCTAGAGTGGCCGTGGCCGAAATCAGTTGTTATCGAACACAAACGCTGATCAGTTATGGAAATAATTATGCATACTCTTTTATATGGGCAAAGTATCAACTCCTATGGATGAGGGGCCTTTTTGGTAGAACGTCATTAAGCTGATTGCCAGTAGGCTGAGAGCGCAGTGTTCCTACAACCTTTTATCTTGGAGAACAACAGCTTCTACGAATTAGTGCTACCTAATTACACGTTTGGTATGGGTTAACGAAAGCGGGATTTGGGCGTGTGATGATTGAGGATAGAATTCGATAAGCACTGTGTAAAGCGTAAGCCTAGACGAACGAACGTCTCGGACTTGCAGCTCAACCAACCCTAGAAGCACATCAGTGAGGACATAATGGTGGGGGAGGTTAAAAGCAGGGCTTACGAGCTTTGGCTCTTGTGAATGAAAACGCAGTTATCTGAAGCGCAAGGAGAATCCATTCCGCTGGCTCGGCAATAGATGGTACAGTTGTTGTTGTCAAAGCGGACTGTAGCAAACTTTGCAGAATGAGATGGATGTATATAATCACAAGCTGACCGCTGTGCCCCGCACCTGTTCGCGCACAGTAACTGGTGCTTATCTACCGGACCTCGGTGCTTCGATAACAAGACGAAGAATTATGACCAAGAAGTATTCCAACCGACGACGTTGGAATTCCCATCCCCCAATATTCGAACGGCCCCTGTAAGCATGGTACATGCACACACACGCACATGTTAAGCTTGATGACGGGTGAATGATTTTGAGAGGGGGGGAGGGGCTGTTTACAACACAACGTTCATCATTCCACCGTTCAAGCGCATCTGTTTCATGGCACGTGAGGCACCAGTTCTGAAAAACCAAGACTGGTTACAGCCTTGTCAGTGAGCTGCGTTAATGACAGGGATCGTTAATTTATACCATCGTTACTCACTGCACCTCCGTTATTACGCAGGGAGTGATTGACCAAGCATGCAGCTCACCGTAGTCCAGCATCTGCCTCCACACCCGGCGAGTTCAGGCTACTATTAGAACAGGGATACCCAACAGAGAACTATCTCCGAGGTGCATCACCATACCAGATAATGAAGATGGAAAGCTGCACCTAAGGTATACCACTTACTGGGGCTTATGGGCATTCTTGCAGCCGGTCGGACCAAAGTTTACCTTTATTTGAAGCTACACCTAGTGGGGTGGCAGCCGCTGTTCTAGCACTAGCTCAACCATCGTGAAATGTTTCACATCCACCTACCTGTAGCATCAATTCGCACAGCTTCAACGTGGAAGGCGCTAAACTAAGCCTTTCCTGTCTCCACCTCTGTATTGTACTCATATTCTTTTATTTGCATTCTTCTCCACAGAATGTGCAATATTCAATTCATCTAATTGACCAAAAAAGCACACGAAAACACAAAAGCTCCAAGTGCACAATCCAAAGTCGAGTTGGTTAACAAATCATTCAGTCCGAAAATCTTGTCGCATTTTTTATACTTAGACAGCACAATGCAGAAACCAGTCCAGAATGTGACATATTCGTTCTTTAAAACATTGTTTAATCGAAGTTGGCTCACGTGGTGCAAGCTGTTTGGTGTGCGGATGCTAACCGTTCGACTGCGCTTATTATCGGTGCTGTGTGCATTATGTCACTCACCCGTTTCGTCCCAATTGAGGCCAGTTGGGACACAGCGTGTTCATGACTTGTGTGGTGGCGGATTTTCTCTCATAATCCACCCGGTGAAATGCACACACACTTTATATCTGCTAGGGTAACGAACTTTGAGGAAACGAACAGATGGTCAGTCCAGTGAGGTGATCGACTATAGAGAACGTTGCACGCATTCAGGTGTGCGCTAACATGGTTCAGTGCTCCAGGCGCTTACCGTAATGGCGTACTATCACCAATAAATTGGTCGTAACGCGTTTGAACGCCAGTGACAAAGGCTCACCTGTACACTATGTTTCTGGACCATATACGTAGTGACCACCAGCAGCAACGCATTATTCCTACCACTGGGTGTGGAATCAGCACATCATTACGCACACAAAAAACACTACAGAAGCGTTTTACTTGTGAGGGGTTCAACAGGGAACATGTTCGCCTAAGGGGTTATTTCCGAAACACATGGGAATTGTGCCCATTCTCGGACAGGAAACAGCAGCATTTTACGCCGAAGGTCATGCCACAGTTATGTGTTCCCTTCTGAGAATTGGTATGGGG